TTCCGGCGTTAGGCCTACATCAGGTGCCCGTCACATGTAATTAAAGGTCATACTCACTGATGTTGCAGCTGTGTGTGCTGCTAAGAAAAACGAGTTCCAGAAAATCGCGCGGTAAAAAAAACTGTGGGTGGATGGCTCAGGAAAACTGATTTCCCAGTACAGCACACAACAACTGAAACAAACGTCGTTGATGCCAATTTACCAACCTCTCTGGCTCTCGTTTGCTGCTCCGCATCAGCGAGATCAAGATGAGCAATGGCGTTTCGCAACTGTTCCACCAACTTTCTTTCAACATCAGTGTACTGCGGCATATCGCGAACAGTCCTTGATTCGGGATGAAAGGTTCCATGAGTGGAGATAGGTTTCGCTGCTATCGAACGTTTCACAGTGTTGTCCTCCTAAACACCATACCGCTTATTCGAATCAAATGGCATCTTTATGGTCAATTCGGTTAGAGCGCGTTCAGACTTCGCGATCGCGCGATCGGATCGCTCGACTAGGATCGCGCGATCGGATCGCTCGACTAGGATCGCGCGATCCAAGAGCGCTATTGGGATGGGTGAAATTCAGCGGGGGGGGGCGTTCATGTTTCACGGATATCGCCGAAGTCGTCGTCCAAAGAGTTTCTGTTTGAAATAGTCTTTTTCAGAGTTGTTCGCATCACATGTTAGTATAGCTGTTTTACTGAATGAGTGCTATATTATTAGAATAATCAAACAATATTTATTCAAATATTCTAGAGATTTGTTCCAAACATTAATGGTATAGTATGAAGTTCGTTGACGCATGTAATATGATATTTTCCGTTCTAAGGAAACTGGGTCATGGGAAAACCGGGCGAGTTCCGTTAAATCATCAGTGATGCATGTTGTTGCTGTTATCGATCGCCCCTCAAGGAATTGTCTTTTAAAAAACGACGACTTCGGCGATATCCGTGAAACATGAACGCCCCCCCCCGTGCACCGCGCGGCCGCGCTACAACTTTCACCCGATGGCACAATGGCGCCTCTGATCGCGGCGATCCAGTATCCACAATCGCGAAGTGCTGAAACGCCACTCTTCAATTGAGAAACATTACTTGCAATGTTCTACAGCAACCGCTGCAGGCGTTCCAATGGAGACCCGTCCAGCTCATCTATATTGTTTTTTTGCAGGGTAACTGCAGCTCGAGTATGGGGTGGGGCGCGGAGGGGGCGGGAGGTGGGGGACTTGATAGGGCAGAGCAGTAATGAAGTGGTCTCATAGGTGACTACTACGCAAAAAGAAAAAGTTAATATCGTCCCCGGCAAAGGTGATACGATAGGTCCGCACGCGGCGCCCCTCAAAGCATGGCGCACGTCGGACGTCGCCGCCGGGGTCGCTCCATGTCGTCAGCAAGCTACAAGCAGCGGCGCCAATTTTATGGCTTTAGTTATCGACACTAGAAATTAGTGGTCTCCAGAAAACAAGTCAGCACTGTCATCGTAATTGTAAATCGAGTCGTTCTTACCTGAAAAAGAAAAACAAATTGGCAACGGGTGGATCGTGAAGAAGAGAACTCCAGGTTCCTGAGCTAAAAAGATCGAGGAACTGCTTAAACGAATTTCGAATTCACACCCCAGTGTTTCTCACCCGTTGTTTCCATAAGTGAACTTTCAGGATATCAACACTTACCTGGTCGTTTCGAGGATGACGTGATGCATGGTTTCGAACTTGCCGGTCTACCGGGCGAGGTATTTGGTTTTCCTGTGAGAGCAGAAACTGATTAGCACCATTTCCATCCCGTTCATCTGACTCGGGTGAGTCATGAACCTGAGAAATCAAATCCAGTCGATAGAAGTGATGAGCAATGATGGCGCCATTCACAGGAACTCACATTGGTCACGTCGCCAAGGATAGGAGTCTCCAAAGCAGGAACTGGTTCTGGAGACCTGGGCGAATCCATTTCAGATCCTGGCTGAGGAGTGCTAGCAAGCATCGGCGATGGAGACGCTACCGCTGGACCAGAAAAGGAATAATTCTGAAAAAAATATGGCGGTTTTTTCACACTACGCGGAGCTTTGCCCTAAAAAAACCACCCCCATATGGGACTACTGGTGGTCATAGCAGTTACTGCAAAGATACTATGGTGTATGCAGAAGGCGGCCTATGATGGGTTCACAATCGGTCTTTGTATAAGCCGCTAGAAAAAAGGATAGAGTTGAAATTGTACGAGGTCGAACTATCCTTACAGAGAAATTTTGAAATTTGTTCTCTTTTCTTTGTTCGGATCGAGAACTTTGAAGAAATCACCTTTCTCCGAGCCCACTGCTGAACAGGAAGAACCTTCCCTTTGCGGAGATCAATGTTTGTTTGAGCAACAGATGATGGAGTACGGGAATCGGAGTGACTTGTCGAAGAAGATGTTGAAGGGCTCTCTGAATTTTGCTTCGTCTCATTAAAAAAAGTTTCAGAAACTCATATAAAAATTCTTTAATTCCCTTCTGAGCCTGTATCTTCAACAGCTCGATGATAAAATGTGAATGACTGAGGAAGTTCTTCGAACTTGTCTGCCTCACTATACTGGTAAACTAGTTAAATAAGTTGTCTCGCAGATACTCACCACCATCATTGACCAAGTTTTCGCCTTCTTGGTGAAATCCACTGTCTGCTGTCCGAACAGTTCTTGGGAGAGATGGCGTCTAAAAAGAAAAATATCAAGAATAGTGTAATATCCCCAAAAACTGGCGCATTAAAAAGGAGAATATCATTAACAATATTCCCGAAATCTAGAAACTACAGAAAAGCATTCATTCGGAAAAAGCACCTGCCAGTCGAGGTCTTTAATAACTTTTGTACGTAGTTGTTGAAGGTTACCATCTTCCTGATCTCGAAACTCAGTCTCGCCAGCACCATTCAGCGACTGCTCATCTGCAAAAATTGTGCATGTAACGTAAGTTCGGTTTGACAATGCATATTAGTTGGAAAGCGAATAATAAAGAGCAGCTATACGAGTCTCCGGAAGGTGAAACTTCTTCTAGCCTTAGGTGACAGTTTTGCAACAGCATAACTGCAGCATTCCCCCGAATAGGGATTGTGCGGCAGTGGGCCTTAAGGCCTGTGATAGCTTGATGTTCCTAATGTCTGCACCCTGCATTCCATACGTGATAAGCATGATAATGACACTGTATGTCCTATGACCAGACATACATTATTATACCCACATGGCTGGCTTTGTGGAGAGGCGGCTGCTTGTGCAGTGGCGGGAGCACAGATAAAGAGAAACTAACTAACACAAGGTTTCAGCTTCACTATCGCGCATTTTCAATGGCGGGGTGCTTCAGTTTACTGCTGCGAACCCGCCCATTTCGCAAACAGGGAGCACCTACTTCTCAAGTGATTTTTTCTGCGCTTCAAATAGCAAGAGGACAAACCCTGTCTTTAAGACCGACTCATGCCTGAAGACTGACTCATTACTGAACTCATTACATTGAACGCCGCGGCGTTTTTGCGGCGACTCCCGTTTTCACTTCCTGCGTCTCCGCGCGCGTGAATTGCGTGCAATACACAAACGCGCGAAACGGGAGTCTTTGTGCCGCATGCCCCTTTACACGCACATTGTGGTTACTTTTGCGCTCATTTTTACATTGTTCAGTATGAATGATGACTTTTTTAGCTGCATAGATGGATCTGGACAACGTAGAAGATCTAAACGTCACTTGACCACATAAATACTGTTATCATAATGAATTAAACACTATCAAATGTATTGCAAATTGACACTAATTATCACTAGAAGTCTTACTACCATTGTAGCGATGCGGAGCTATCATAAGAAGTGCAACTACCGCGCCACTGACTGTTATTTTGTAATAATATTAATGAATTACTCCAATGAGCAGCTTATTTCACGCCATCATGAAGCATAAGCAAAGCTCACCGAACATATACTCGGTGAGAATGGATCGAGTCGCATGGTTCGAGTCGCACTCTTATCCACGAAACGTGAATTGTGAGCAATACACAAACGCGAGGAACGGGAGTATGTGCGTGTATTGCCGACAATTCACGCAGCGTTCAATGTGTTAAACAAGATTCTAAATTTTTGCTATAGGAGACCATCTAACCGTGCAGCGTTGCAGAACGAAACAACTGCTATACACCTTATGATTATGAACTTACAATTGCGCCGTGTCTGCGATCGTGGAATGCTTGTTGATCTCTTCATAACGGGATATTCTATCTGAAATGAAAATTTAGCCATTATCGAACGTAGTAAGGCATTGAACATGATTATCGGAGGCGGGCTGGCTGTTCTCTGTAGCTTCATTGGTGGAGGGCTGCGAGAGGGCGTTCGGCCACACCCCACTTAGCCCTTCCACCAATGACGTTGGCATCAACCCCCCCCCCCAGGCTCGACGCCTTGAAGTTTCAGGGAATAAGCGGTTGAGAAAGCTATTGTTCAACCAATTATAAACTTGTACATGGTCCCTGCAAACGATAGGACGTGTGACGGGAGCACGGGTGGAGCGCAGCCAGAGCAGATTTCACGTCAATTGTAGCACTCTCCAGGTGGATGACATCATTGTCGGAACAAGGACCCCTGCCTACGCTCCGATCCGCACCGCGTCACATGCCCCATCGCTTGGAAGGATTATGACTATACACCTCTGTTAGCTCTCACCTTTGTTTTCTGACCTGCACCTTTGCGCAAGAAAGGGAAGGATTTTCCAGGAGGCGGCCGTCTCTGTCCCTCCGACATCCGAGACGCGACTAGAGAATCGATACAATTCTATGCCAAAATATTTGCTGAAGAAGAACATGATTTCCGATGTTGCCCAAGGTAGCAGGAAAAATACTGCCACAGTCGATGAGGTCAGCAACTACGAAAGTAAAAATATGGCGCTGATTCACTGACGGAAAGGGGGGGGGGGCGGGCATGTGGCGACGCGATGAAGTGACGCCTTCCTTTACGAGGCTCATACGAGGCTCAACACGGAAAAGTGCGAACAAATAGAACCCGAGCGTGACCTCGTCTTAAGCCCCAGAGCAGTGGACTTCGCCGAACCGCAACGTGGACTCCCTCGAGTGCAGCGAGGCAAGCGATAGGCCAGCATATTTTCAACAGGGCTTTCATACCTGGCGATCAAAACGCTTGCACCGCGTGACTCAAGCGACCGAATCGCGAAGTATGAAGGCGCTTTCAGGGAGACTGGGACAAGCGAACGAATGCTAGCGTTTCCGAGAATGTGTGAGAACAAATTATGAAGCGAATTAAATCATTGTC